GGGGGGGGGGGGGATCGAGAAAGTCATCAAAAGTTTTTAGGGGGAATCACTTCAGTGAAGTAACATTGAAAGGGCCCCCTCCCCGGTGATAAATAATGACCGGTCCGTTAACCGAGAAGACCTGGGGACGAAGTTGAGTTGCTTTCAATTGCATTGGCTCCAGGCTCTTAAGATTACTCCCCCCACTTTTGCGATTTCATGACCGTTATGTTGCCCTATCTTTAGGAAGAACAAATCTCATAGCGTTGAGATATGGATATGACACTATACTATTAACGTATTTTCATGATTGCAGATTTACGGCGGCTTCGTGAGGACCCACACACCATTGATGAAAAACCTCTTAAAGTGATAAATCAGCCTCCAAAGAAAAAAGTCCCACTGGACCCTCTAAAAGTCCATGTTCAAGGACTTAACGAGAAGACTACAAAAGACTCTCTGTGGTTGTATTTAGAGAAGTTCAGCAAAGTAGACGTGACCGAGGTGTACATGGGCTGCAACAACAACGCAATGGCCGTTTTTGATTTTGAACAAGGTAAAAAAATATATTGTTCGTTACTTGTTTTTGTTTTCTTTTATTTTGTTGTTGTTCTTTCGTGAACGATCAAGAATGTATTTTGGTTTTTTCTATTTCTTGACATTTGCTTGTACTTTTGATTTTATGTGCTTTGGTCCATTTGTGAAGCGGTACAGTTTCAGCAGCAAAGTTTTAAGGGCATACCTTCTTTTGAAACTACGGTGTTATCCTTGATCTATGCATTCAGTTTGGGAATAGTTGGTCAATTTTTTCTTTTTCCGGCTAAATTAAAGCTTTTTAGGTTTTATTTCCTGTAAAATTTGTGAACAAATTCTTTATAATTAACGAGCCACAAGAGCACACGTGTATACTAAAAAGATACCCGGACTCATGATCACTGACATGATTTTCTGGACAGCGACTGGGAATGGTTGCGCAAAGGGTTTTGGTTAGTGGGATGCCCAAGATGCGTTTAATTAATTCCACTATTATGTTTTCAACCTCAATAAATCCTCTGCTGATTACAGACATTTTAGGAGGAGCCACCAACAATTAGTTAGCACAGAATAACTGTCAAGAATACAATGCAAATTAAAGTAGAGGTAATACCGGCGTTCAATGTCAATTGGGGCAAAAACGTTTGAGTTATAAATAACTTATGACACTTCTGGGCATATTTGTTCTGCTGCTCTACTGTTACTTGACAAATATAATTTCCTCCGTGTTTCTGTTTCAGACTTCGTTGTTCTTTTTGACAAAGTCACCAAAGACCGAAAAGGGCTGGAGGGGAAGCATGTTCGATTGGACCGCGTGCCCGTATGTTCTTGCATTAAAGTCAAAGGACATAAGGAAACGTCGGATGAAAGTATAGCTCTTTACTTTGCAAACATGAGAAGGAGTGGAGGGGGCCCTGTCAGCCTTGTGGAAAGAATAGGAAAAGACCAAGTCTTGGTGCATTTTGAGAATCCATCCAGTAAGTAGAACTAAATAGAAATTTAGAACTTACTGAAAAGTTTGTGGAAGCTGTTTTTAGATGACGGCTGTAATTTGTTGCTACCGGAGGAGGATGGAGGCTGGTCACCGTGTGGACAGAAGACTTTATCCCATCTCATCTTCCTTCTCCTTCTCAATCCTCTATAGAGAAATGTTCTCTGCACATTGCGCAATAAGCGGAAGGAAAAATGGTTATTCTTTCGGGAAAATATAAATTTTGATGGAAAAGGTGAGGCTCAGTATTGCCGAGGCTTTTTCAAAGTGTCCGACTACAATTGACATTGAGCATGCATGAACACTGTGATAGCTTAAACTGGAAGAAATCTAAAGCTGAGATTTTTACCACGATTGTGTTTAATATGTGGTCACATCTTTAATAATTATCTTGTTTTGGATTCAGGCGTCGAGACCGTTATCAAAAGAAGTCATGTCCTTGAACGACAACAGTTGGACGTAAAACCCTACTTTCCTTTTCTGGAGAATTGAACAACAAACAAAACCGATATTACTCAGTTTTGAAGCAGAAGTGTATGATTATGTCAAGAAGTACCACCAACGAGAATTACAAGAACAGAAGGTACTGGTTGAATTTTCAGATGACGCTCAAAGTTCTACAATCACTATTTTGCCATCGGAGAAGAAGGTGAGGAAGAATCTCGTCAGTCGTGGCAGAAAAGGGTGAGTGGCTTGGAAACATTTTAAACAGTTTCAAGAAAGTAGAAGTCCCCATTGGAGCTGAACTTTTTTATGAAATGGTTCGACGATGGAAGAAGCAAAATGAAGTGAATCTAAAACAAGGAGGGTCTTCTCATTTTCATACGAACACCATCCTAATCCTGGCGTACCTTACTGCTGTTACTTCTGCGCATTTTACTTTCTACACTTGCAGAGAATCATGAGTATCGTGTGCAATGGTTTTGAACGGAAAACGAGTCGACGAGGCGGTCCATCAAAGTGTGTAAGGTCCTTTCTACATCAAAGGGAGGTGCCTGGCAACATATTTTAGAGAACGTCTAATACGTCGACGTCAAATAAGCGAGATGCATTAAATGCCAGAACACTTGAACGTCTGCAGGGCCGGGATGTTCGAAGCTGGGTTAAGATAACCAAGGTTTAGTGCGAAATTTGAACTCGGATATGAAAGCTTAAGAAGCAAATTCAGTTTAATTCACTTGGCCTACAATTTGATGATTGGATACTCTAAAAAGAATAGAGAAAATTGTCCGAGAGAGCGGCTTTTGATAAAAAGAAAAAAGAAAACCAGGTTAAAATTTAACCCCGGATCAAGGTTATTAATCGGCGTTCGAACAACTTGACCCAGATTGACTCACTTTATAGACCTCTGACCGACTAGTCTCAGACGTTTAAGCCGTTTGAAATAGAGCAAGACGCCTTTTCGTTCAGACGTCTAAGAAGAGTCTCTAGTATCAATAGCGACTACTCTTTTTGGCACGAATTAACCTTCACTTCGACGAGAAGGATTACCACGGCCAACTCTCCTCCTGGGGTACCCTAACTCTGTAAACGAAACAGGGAAATGTCAGTGGAAAAGCTTAGGGTAAAATAACCCAAAAGGTTGATAGCAGTGGAGACGGCTGACATTAATCAGACTAATGATACATTTACATCCGTTATAATTCTTCATTAGAGACGAAAGGTAGTGGTGAAGATAACTAAATAGTTTTCCAGTGCAGCTTTTCAGTTATAACGCGTGATTACTAGATATTAATTTTCAAATGATGATTGCTTTTTTTGGAACATTCTTCAGCGGATTAGATTATTAGAAGGGTATGGCACAACTTTTCGCTTTCGTTGCATACCCCACTTGTAAAATTCGTTGTTCAACCTTTACCAAATTCGCGAAAATCCTGCACGAAATCGGTGTCTTCATATATACATGTATCAGGTACAACTTTTAACGAATAGAAATCGCAATCTCAAGCTTATTTTTATTCTCTTCTCCTTACAGTTGCGGATCGGGATCCAGACCGCGTTTATACCTTAAGAGATTAAAGCAACAATTAGCTGATAAAGGTTTTATGTTATATAGTGATACACATAGTCAGTTTGCTGAATCAAACCTTTCATTCCCAAGATGCTCACTTCCAGAGATGTTTATAGAAATCCCCAATTTCTTTTAAAAGAATATTGAAAAAACAAATAAATCTTTGAGTACCATGTAAAATTAAAGAACTGCTAAAGAAGTTTCTTTTGGATCTTCACAGTGCGTGAAGTTTCATTAAAACACAAAAGTTGGACTTTTGAAGACGGATTAACGTTGTTATTCCATGTTTCGAACTCTAGCGAGGATATAAAGCAGGAATGGATCTAGGGGGAGGGGTCAGGGGGTGCGCACCCCCCCCCCCCCCCCGCGGAGGAGCAACGGGTTTTTTATTCAAACAGGATTCCCAAAAAAAAAAAAACAAAGGGGGAAATGGTGGTGGAAGAGGGGAAAAAACAAGCGCACACCCCCCCAAAAAAAATACCGCATCCCCACCGTAAAAAGGACCAAGAGCAA